AACCGAACTTGAGAAAGTACTAATAAAGATACTGAATTCAACATTAACTTGAATTACGGATATAAAAGACATCAAAATAAATTACTCCTAGTTAACATTTCAGGCTAGGAAAATAACGTCTACTTACTATATTTCAATAAATAATAAGATCTATCTAATCCAGTAACTTATTTCTCACAATGATCAACTAAAGATTTATAAAGAATATGTTCATATGCTGTCTTAAGTACCTCTGTTTGTCAATAATTCAGCCTTATGAAAAATCTTAAGCAGATTCCATATGTACTATTTTGAGAAAACAAACCTCTCTAACCACTTTATCCACAACATGAATAATTTTAAGGAGTTTTATCTTATGACCCTTATCACTCCCACCGACTAAATAAAGTCCACGTGTTAAACTTTTCCCATTGTGAAGAATATATGTAGCTCAGTATTGAGTTCTTGGTATTCTCAAGTTAGTTTCTCTTCCTGCAGAATTTCATTCCTAGGCTAAGTGATATCAACATCATGAGTTACAATTTTACCTGGAGAGGACTTATTTCAATTGCTTGGTAAATTTGATTTTTCTTTGTAACTTTTATCCAGATGCACAATACTCATAAAGATTTAACAATCAGAACTCTATATAATACTCCTAATCATTGCTGCAAGTAGACCGCAGTATTACAGAACTGGCAATGTTAGTTTTGATTTCAATACTAATGATCTTAAGGATAACATCATAACTTGGGTATGTTGGTTGGCTTCCTATGTTGTGTGATCTTTTAAAACCATGGTTTTCTCAGTATCACATTAACTTTCTAACTGATAATCTATAATTTCTAAACTACAATTTCAGAAAAGATCCCTTTGCTAACTGATTACCTTGTGTAATATGGAAATAAAGATTCCTAGAAGATTGCTTAAGAAATAAAGCATACTAAATACTTTAGACTCGGGAATAAAATTAGAACTCGAAGAAAATTGATAAATACAAGATTGAAAAAAAAAAAGGAAGAAAAGACAAGTGAAATCCTCAGGCCCTCTAAAAAATAAAATATAAAAAAACATAGCAACTTACTTTTTTGACTTTCAAAGTTAAGGTGCTAACTTGCAAACTATCTATAAATTTTCCTTCTTTTGTGGAAACACAAAAAGCAGCACTGGTGAAAGCATCTTTATCTTCCTTTTTCTCAAGTCATAGCTTTAATTATTACAATCTCCATAGGCCTATCTTACTGAACCTGTGGATCTATGCTGTACCTACAAAAAACCCTATAACTGATATGTTTTGAGCTGTAAAGAACACAGAGAACCATTATACCTTCACCCTAGTAATTAGCTATTTTATCTTTTAGGTCAAAGAGCTGTATCTCTGCATCCATTTCATGCTTGCAAATTTCCTTAAGAAAAGTAGAAATTGCACTAGCAAATTGCCCCTAACAGACTCTTCTACCCCAACTTTTCTAGTCTTCCAAAGCTTCGGAGTGGGCATGATTTTCTTAACATTACTAAGTCTATTTAGTATACTGTATTACAGGCCTGCACATACTATGGCCTTCCTAGCAGCCTTTTGTGACTCGCTGGTGTTTTTTTTTAAAGAGTCCCTGCCACTAAACATTGTTGCTGCCAGAAGAATCTGCTGCCATCTCTGCCCAAAAGACAAGCTGCTGAGCACCTGCAATGCCTCCAGGCTTCATTGACTGGTTCATTGAAGAGCTGATCAATGCACCAGGTGTTCCTTTGTGGCACATGATTATTTTTAAGGTATCGGTCAGGTCCTTTCCCCTCTATGAGTTGTGCTGGCCTTTTTGTTTGCTAATGCAAATATAGCTAATAGGTTTTCAGAGTTACATAACTAGTGTGTTTGTCAGAAGTAAATGTTTCAGAGTGATTCTTAAAAAGCAACTAATATTCACGAATAAAACTTGTACCATTGGAACTCTAGTTCTCCGATGGTCTAATATATTTTTTTCTTTGCTTTTTAAACTTCCCATTACACTTAATGTGGCCCTAGAAAACTGAAGCCTAGTAAGAAGAGAGTGTTCTGTAGATTTGTCATAGAGGGCAATGGTTGTAATAATCCCTGGATAAGATAATGAGAACTGCAGTTTGAGCAGTACGATATTTGAGCATCTCTCTAAACCAGTTGACTGGAATAACAGTAATTCCCTGGCTCTCTGGCCCTGACCCTGTCATTGCAAAAAATGAATATGCATTCTGTGGAAAGTTAATAGAACTTTTCAACAATCCATTGCACAGCAAGATATCATTTTTGCGCAATAACCGCTCCTTTAGCCTTAACCACACAGACAAATATTGCAATATCTTCTTGGAAGGAACCTACTTTTGTGAAGCTAATGAACTCTGCCATCTTTCCGAATTCCAAGTTCATTATTAAACAGCTTTTTAGATGCCAATGTGCTGGAGAAGCACATTCTTGGTTTCCATGTGACTTGTGGAAAAGTAATTCAGAACAGCAGCCATTCAGTGCAAATGCACAGTTCAAGGTCATAGGGGGAACTACAGCAACCACTCCTGTTAATCTATGTGTATATAAAAAAGGTTACAACTGAGAAATGTGAGGAACCTGCCTTCTGGAATTTTTTACAGGTTGTCTTGGACTTGAGACCATTTGAAATTATGCAGGATCTTCTAACTTGGGGCTACTTATGACATGGATTTAAAGTTAAATGGGTGTCCCTCCAGTGGTACTTTTGGGTCTTGACATCACAACCACACATACGGTCATTTGCAGTGTCCTGCAGTCACATGACCACATTTTACAATCGTTTCTCTGAAAATCGGCACTTCCATTCTTTTGGGAAAACTATCTCCATAGCGAAGAATTTAACTGCTTAATGACCACAGTGACCATTTTATAGTTGCTGTCTTAATGTAATGGCCATTACAAAAAGGTCATAAAAATTGGGTTGGCCATGTAACCAACTCATTTTAAGACTATATGTGACTTATGACTGTGATGGGCAGACTCCATTACGGTCATACATGTAGTAGGACTGCTCAAAACATTCTGCTCTGGAGATCAAACTTCTGAGGAATTTACAGAATGTTCCATATTTTTTCTATGACAATCCAGCCATTCCTGGGTTAGTCTGGCAACCTTCCGGAAGTTAATGTTTCAGGACAAGAAATGGCTTATAGTGTACTAGACATGGAACTGACTATTTTGCGCATATTACTTTCTACTTTTCGTACATGAAAGCAGTTGGATACAATTTTTAAATAAAAAAGTTATTAATTGCTTTAGGTTTTCTGCCTAAGCTAGAATTCAAAGTGCAGCTATTCAGCAAAACCTATTAAATGAGACAATTTCTAGAAAAAAAATGAAGGACATTTCATGCAAGAGATGTTCCTGTACCTATTACTGGGCTGAAAAGAAACACTTGAATAGTCGAAGCCTTCATAAGGGTATGCTGAATTACTTGATGTCATTTAGGGAGCTCAAGGTAAGTCTTTAAATTTAATTTTGGGGAAAAGGTGGGTCTCCCCTGTTGCCCAAATAAACAGAGAAAAACATGGTCAAAGGCACAAAGGCTCTTCTCTCCTGTCAATCTGTAAAAAACAATAGCTAATACCACAGATACTTAGGAAGGAGCATGCCAGATACAATTAGTGTGAATTAGTGCAACAGGGTGTTGGAGAGAGAAAGCAAGGTCCAGATTTTTTCATAGGAATCCATTCTTGCATAATCAATATTTGCAATCTTGGGTCCAAAGAATAAACAATATAACATTATCAACCTCACCAAAGACAAAGGGGAAAGCATTCCAATAGAGAGAGAAGAATCACAGAAGAAACTGATAAAACACATGAAATGTCTTACAGAATGTCTCAATTTCTTATCTTGAAACAGTGGTCTTCCTTCACATCAACTTTTTTTTAAAGGATCCAACTTAAATTTTCTTAAGAAATTTACATTCATGTGATGAATTAAAGGAACACAATCTACCTGCAAGACTTGAGCATGGGTAAAAGCTATGCAGAATTCAGGATAATTATATGGTATGGTGTCCTTATTTATCTTTACATTTCAACAGACAACAGGAAACCAATGCAAGTCTAGGACAACAATGTTTTATTATAGTTGCAATAAGCAGTCCATACATAGACAATCATAGATGGTAATATTCATGTTCTAATAAACTAAAATATTAAAAATTCACATTGGCTGAATAAGAGCATGAAGAAAATTGAGTGGAGAAATAAGGAACATATTCTTCAAGTTGTGTCTGTAAAATGGTGCTAACAGTGATATTCAAGGAATTGGAAGTTGAGCGAAGAGATCAATAAAAAAGCCGAAAGTGTGCCACTCCCTTTTACTGTATCAAAGCACTGCAGAAAGCAGTGTAGGAACGGCTAGTTATTATTATTATCATCAAAATCCTTAAGAATCCGAAACTGTAACTTTTTTTTACCTCAATGTCACTTGTCAGAGCCTCAATCAGTTCTTTCCACATTAATAACAACACAGGAGAAATTTAGATCTAATATAACATTAGTGCTGTTAGTTTTACATAGGACCATCAAAATCTAGCCAGACAATATACAAGCACAAAATGTGTCAGATTTATATAAAAAGTGGTTGCATTTGTATAATTGAATCTATTTAGTCTCATATCTACAATATGCCATCCAAATCTTTCTCTCTTCCCCTAGATTTCTTGCCAGTAAAAAAAACTGCAGTTTTTTTTCCTATGATGACAATTTTATACCTGTCAGTTCAGGGTTGTTTTATAATGTTAAGAAGGTTTACTGCAATTAAAATGGAATAGATTCCGAATCAGAAGATAAAAACCCACAATTAATAGTATAATTTAATTAAATTTTAATCAAAGATTATAAATTTCTTTGCATTTTTAGACTCAGAAGGCCCCTAAAAAACATCTTACATGTAAGTGCAGATTTATAAATGATAATTTCTGCAACTCATACTAAAGGGAACTTTAATGGAAGAAACATCATAAAACCAAGTAAAGCTCTTTATTTTTACTTACCGGCTTCGGCATTTTTGATTCCTGAGGTTTTCCTGTTGATCCAAGACCAAATATTCATACAGCAGTTTATGGATATCCTCTTTGCTTCCAGGAGATCTGGTAGAATGGGTTACAAGGAAGACCAACTCAAGACACATGACATAGTTAAGGAGCTTTAGGCAGGTTAAGTAAGCAAAAATGATTCACTCATGACCAATAATTACTTAGTAACACACCACCACTTTACAAAGAAACAGAACCAGCAGCCTCACCCAGTAGGAAAAAAAAAGAGTCCAATTGTAAGTAGAGAAGGTCATTTTGCCAGCCACACCCATAAGAGCAGCTATAATTTCAAGATTCTTGAGAAATAGAGAGAGAGAGAAAGAGAGAGAGAGACTGACTTGTCTCGGGGTGGTATCTAAAGCCAGTATCCCAGCAACAAGAGAATCAACCAAACCCCTAGGAAGGAAAACTTGTGCTAAGCCTCTCAGGCCACCAGTTGATAGCTCGTATTTCTCAAAGTCGGCTCTCTTTAGAAGACAATGGCTACAATCTGATTAGGACTATTCCGCAATAAGCAAACTGCAAGCGCCCATTCCACATAGGACTCAAACACACGGAGGGGTCGATCTTAACCATGGGGAGGAGGGGGGGGG